ATTTGAGACTATATGAATACTTTGTTCTCCAACAATTCTTCTGTTAATGGCTTTAGATTCATTGATGGTCTTTGCCTAACTCAATTATTAAACAGATGATTACAAAATAGTGATTTTTAAAATTCTATTATTCCTTCCACATTTATTATGTGGAACTCTTCTGTTTTTCTGTAAAGAATAGCTTTCTTTTTTTTTTAATCTGTCTTGTTTTTTTTTTTTTTTTTTAATCTCTATGGACTCATGGATTTTTGTTTTTCAATTCACTGAGTTACAATCTGTTATCTTCATTAGTCTTTTTGATTCTCAAATTGTCTCAAATTTGGCCTCTGCGAGTCTCCTCAAATTTGCTCCTGTGTCGTTATGACATTAGCCCATTTGAGTACTTCCTCACTTTCCAGGTATCAGTCATTTCTCCAAGGAGCTCCAGTCTCTTTAAGGGAGCAATGGTATTTAGGATCCAAAATCTGGAAGCTAGCTGTGCTCACTGCTACCAGGATGCCATTTTTAAAAGCCGCTTTTAATCTTTTGCCCACTGCACACATAACATTTTTCTTTAATTAGGGATTTGGAAAATATTCCAGGTTACAGTTACTTCTAAGTCTCCGATTTTAAGGTTTGTTAAATGCAGATGTCATTTCTCCTTGCTTTTGCTTCCTCACTTTCTGCTTCTCTTTTAATACTGCTAAGATCTGGGCAATAAACGATTCAAGATCACAGCTGCTTGTCCAAACAATACAATTAACAATATTTTATCCTACTCACATCCTGATTGAGCAAACATCAAAGGAAACTGTATACTTACTGTTTGTTATGCATATGTACAGACATACATGTACATGTACAATGTAGCTATATACACGCATAGCTACATATGTTTTCCTTATTAAGTGATAGGCTACTCAGAAAATGTAAGTAATTAAAAATTTATCCGCTTTGGAAGAAAATTCTGACAAAAGCTATGACATGGATGAACCTTGAGGACATTATACTAAGTGAAATAAGCCAGTCACAAAATGACAAATACTGGGCTGGCCCGTGGCTCACTTGGGAGAGTGTTGTACTGATAACACCAAGGCCACTGGTTCAGATCCCTATATAGGGATGGCCAATTAGCTCACTTGGGAGAGCGTGGTGCTGACAACACCAAGTCAAGGGTTAAGATCCCCTTACCAGTCATCTTTAAAAAAAAGAAAAATACTACATGATTCCACTTATATGAGGTATCTAGATTAGTTAAACTCATAGAAACAGGAAATAGAATGGTGGTTGCCAGGGTCTGAGAGAAGGGGAGAACAGGGAAAGGGGAAGTAGTTGAATGGGTATAGTTTTTGTTTTGCAAGATGAAGACTTCTGGAGACTGGTTGCATAACAATGTGAATGTACTTAACACTACTAAACTATACACTTAAAAAATGGTTAAGATCATAAATTTTATGTTATGTGTATTTTGCCACAATTAATTTTTAAAATGCATCCTTTTCAACAATAAAAAGACAAATAACCCAACTAAGAAATGGGTACAGGATTGAACAGACATTTCTCCAAAGAAGATATACAAATGGCCAATAAGCACATGAAAAGAAAATGCTCAACATCATTAATCACTAGGGAAATGCTAATCGAAACCACACTGAGATACCACTTCACAGACACTAGGATAAATAAAATAAATAAAACACACTTCGGAAAACAGTCTGGCAGTTCCTTAAAATGTTATACGTAGAGTTACCATATAAACTAGTAATTCCAGGACCTAGTAATTCTACTCCTCAGTGTATATCCAAGAGAAATGAAAACAGGACCACACGAAAACTTGCACATGAATGTTCACAGCAGCATTATTTGGAACAGCCAAAAGGTGGAAACAATCCAAATTGCCATCAACAAGTGAATGGATGGGCCGGCCTGTGGCTCACTCGGTAGAGTGCGGTGCTGATAACACCAAGGCCACGGGTTCGGATCCCTATATAGGGATGGCCGGTTAGCTCATTTGGAGAGTGTGGTGCTGACAACACCAAGTCAAGGGTTATGATCCCCTTATCGGTCATCTTTAAAAAAAAAAATCTTGCAGGGTATAGTGTTATCAGCATCATGCTCTAACCAACTGAGCTAACCAGCCAGCCCCGTATTATCTTACTGTATATACATTTTTTTTCATTTCATTGAAATGGGTATATAGATTTTAAAAAATTACATGGGTGTAGGCCGGCCTGTGGCTCACTCGGTAGAGTGCGGTGCTGATAACACCAAGGCCACGGGTTCAGATCCTATATAGGGATGGCCGGTTTGCTCACTGGCTGAGCGTGGTACTGACAACACCAAGCCAAGGGTTGAGATCCCCTTACCGGTCATCTTTTAAAAAAAAAAAAAAACAAGTGAATGGATAAACAAAATGTGGTATTATCCATTCAATGGAATATTATTCAGCCATAAAAAGAAATGAAGTACTGATCCACATTACAACACAGATAAACCTTAAAACATTATGCTAAATTCAAAAAACCAGTCACAAAAGGCCACATATTATATAATTCCACTTATATGAAATGTCCAGAACAGGCAAATAGACAGAAACAAAAAGTAGATTAATAGTTGCCAGGACCTGCACAGAGTAGGGGATGGGAACTGTCTGCTAATGGGTATAGAGTGTCTTTTTGGGGGGTTGAAAAAATGTTCTTAAATTAGATTGTGGTGATGTCTGTACAATTCTGAGTAGACTCAAAACCGTAGAATTGAGTACTTTAAAAGGATAAATCCTATAGTATGTGAATTATATCTTAACAATGCTGGGTTTTTGTTGTTGTTGTTAAAAAACGCATCCTTTGCCATAGAGTAACTGTCATGTTTTTGGGGGCAGTGAACTGGACACCCAGGGCACAAAACTTCAGGGGAAAAAAAAAAATCATACGGTATTTCCCTTAATGCCTGAAAATATACCTCTCCAGTCAATTTTCCAAATATGTTGGGTACTAGTTCTCTGAAATAACTTTTAAGATTAGGTGAATGCTTCTAATAAATCTTTCATTTTAAGCAGTAGTTCAAACAACACGTTTGAAGGGATCTTAAGACTATAATTTTTTTTAAATCATTAATTTCTTCAAATAGGTAATGCATAAAAAAAGACATCCTTTTCCATAGTTTTTTTAAAAAAAAAAAAAATAAGTTGATGGGCCGGCCCGGTGGCGCACTGTGCTAGTGCGCCGCGTGGGAAGCGCGGAGGCGCTCCCGCCGAGGGTTCGGATCCCACATACAGACCGGTTCCCGCTCACTGGCTGAGCAAGGCGCGGGGGCAACACCGAGGGTTGCGATCCCGTTGCCGGTCCCCAGTCCGGTACGGGGGCAACACTGAGGGTTGCGATCCGTTGCCGGACACGGAAAAAGACAAAAAAAAAAAAAAAAAAAAAAAGTTGATAACAATTCAAGGGTATACAGTGAAAAGCAGATCTCACTTCCACTCCTATGGCCCCAATCATCTAATTCACACCTTAGAAGAAATCATTTTTAGTTTTCATTTTGATAGGAAAACATATGTGTGTATGTATGTGTGTATATTTGATTCTCGTATATCACAGAATACTCTAAATACCTTTCTACACTCTGCTTTTACGCTTAATGTTTTTTTCAAGACCTTGCCATATTCATACCTCTTTATTTAACAGCTTCACAGTATTTCACTGTATGGATGTACTGGAATTTATTAACCGTCTACTATTAGTGGACTATTAGTGGTCATTGCTATTTTTTTTGCAATTATTAATAATGTGCCAACGAATAACTTTAGTTAAATCATTTTGCACTTGTGCAAATATACTATGAAATAAATATCTGGAAATAAAACTGGGGAGTCTAATGCATACTTACTTCACATTTTGAGAGAATTGCTAAATTACCTTCCAAAAACACTCAATTCACTCTCCCATCAAAAAAACTATGTGATTGCCAGTTCTCCTTTCTAACACAAAGTATCAAACTTTATGATTTCTGGCAATCTGATAAGTGAAAAATGGTACTTCACTATGGTGCTAATTTGAAATTTACTAACTATAAATGAAGATGACAGCTTTTCATTTGTTTAAATATCTATGTGATTTGTATTTCTTTTGATGAACTATCAATCTTGTCTTTTACCCATGTTCCTTTGGACTTACTGGTCTTTTACTTATTAATTTACAGAATACACACATACATATATGTATATAGGTGAACACTGAAATTTGCCCTATGTGTCATATTGTTTTTGTTTTTTCTGGCAGCAGGCCGGTACAGGGATCAAACCCCAGACCTTGGTGTTATCAGCACCATGCTGTAACCAATGCTGTCATATGCATTACAGATATTTCCCTCAATTTTTCTTCTTTAATTTTTATTATAACATTTTTTCTCTGTAGAAATCCTAAATTTTTACGATGCAAATATACCAGATTTTTTAAATGGCTTCTGTATTTTGGGGCATCTTTTAAAAAGCCATTTCTATTCAATTTTTATAAATGTCACCTATTTTTTCCTCTAATATAATTATCCATTCACTATAAATACATATGTAGAATTTTAGTATAAAGTTTAAATAAGAGTTTCTCCAACCCCCAATATTTGCAGAGAATCAGAAAAGCTATTGTTCTTTCCTCCACAATGCACGAGTACTCATTCAAATAACTGACATTTAAAACTCCTAAATTCCCAACAGATTAAAAGCACTAGATCACTTAAGACAGGTCCTTCTGAAGGACCTATGCTGCTTCTTCAGAGCTGCTATACTTAACCACTACCTAATGAATTTTCCAAATAAAATGTAAAATAATATTCAACTGGGGGTTTCTATAACATGTCCGTTATACTATTTAAAATATTCTCTCCCTTAATTAGTCACTAAACAACTTTTATGTTCAATCTTTACATGTCATAGATACAACTACCAAAAACTTAAGTATGACAGTTTCTGCCAAGAAGAGTTCCTTCTACATATCAGATATTCAGAATAAGATGTTCAAAAAAAACAGAAAGATGTTCATTACCAATTTACATAATTCATAGATGATAAATTGATATAATTAAAATTTTAAAACTTTCTTTAAACCTTTTTTTGCTGGAGAAAATGATTGTAGAGAAAAATGTAATCCATTTGTAACCAAATGAACAAAGTTAACTTACCATGTGGGGAGCGCTGATTGTTGCCTGGAAACCTGCAAAACAAGAAGAGAACTACTGATACATTCAGTTACAAAAACATACTGAATATTTCATATAATTCCTTTTCTAATATCCATACATTATTCTTCACAATAATTCCTTTTAGTTTTTATGATCTCAAGAAAATAAAACTTTTACTTGTGAGAGTACTGACAAGCAGCAATTTAAATTAGAAAATACAACCACGCCAAAGGCTAATGTGCTCATCTAGTAAAACAGTCTTAACTATTTCCAAAAATTTCTCTCCTGTATAGTTAGCGAAGAAAGGAAGAATTTCAGTTAGTTGAGAGTTGATAGATTTTTGACTTGTTTTTTCTTCAGATTTATAAAAAGAAAATAAGCTTCCATACATAACAGGTATGCAAAATCTTTGCAAAATTAACTGTTTCATATTTCTGGCAACTTAAAAAATAAATAAATAAGGGCTGGCCCGTGGCTCACTTGGGAGAATGTGGTGCTGATAACACCAAGGCCATGGGTCCGGATCCCTATATAGGGATGGCCGGTTAGCTCACTTGGGAGAGCGTGGTGCTGACAACACCAAGTCAAGGGTTAAGATCCCCTTACCAGTCATCTTTTAAAAAAATTAAAAGTAAAAAAAAATAAAGCAACTGACAAAATAGCTTAAGAGGCCAATAAACTATTTCAATTTACTTTACATCTTATCATCTGATGTTAATTCACATAATCTTTTCTTGGTTTTTAGCTTTTAGTTTCTTTTCTTCCAGTGTTGCTTTCTCAAAACTTATTTACCTGCTTCTGCCTCTGAAGCAATTTTCACTGAGCGGTGGTAGCAGGTGCCTTCGGGGTTCAGAAGCTCCCCAGGATCTTCTGTGATGACTGTTACAGTGCTTCTAAAGAAGATAACATGGCAGCTGGCTGACAGAATCCTGAGGCACTTCTAAGCCTCAAAGGCGCCCACTGCCAAGGCTCAGCAGTTCAGCAAAACCTGCTTGAGGAGGAGTTAAATATGGGACTTTCTAAAAACAAACACAAGCCAAAAAATCAGGCCAAGTGAAGCAGGGAAGTCAGTAATAATTGAATTACATTTATTTCCTTTAAATATTGATTTAAAAAATTAATGCTAACATGAAAATAATCTTTAATCAACATTAAGGTCCCTAAAGAAAATTCAGCACTCAGCTAAAACTATAAGTTTGAAAGTTTTGTTTTTCATTAAAATATTTGAAGAAAAAATTTTGAATTATTTATACAATATCACATGTAGTTTGTGAAAATAGAAAAATACATGTCATTGATTAAAACGGCTATGTTGGGGATTATGAAAATTACTTAGTCATAAAATTCAAATTAGCAAGGTAATAATAAATATCTATGTCTCAGTATCTTTCTACTTACAAAAATTAGAGTAAATGAGGAAAAATGTGACATTTTCAGAAATCTAAAACTTACCTATTGATTGTGGGGAATCCATATAAGGGTTACATTTTGCATAGTGGGAGCGATCTGTAGCTAGCATTACTTCAAACACTTTATCTGTCTTGATGATTCCATTTTCTGAAACAAAGGAGGCAAATATTTTAAGCAGAGAGTGACATAATCAGATGTATTTTAGAATACATCTAAAATACAAGATTGGAAGTTGTTGCAATGGCCCGGGTAATGGCAACAGTAAAGACAGAGAAAAGTAGAAAGATTCAAGTAGGATCCAAGAAGGATTTAGTAGGTAATATATACCCAACTGACTTCGGGGATTTGTGGGTGATGGTTGAGATGCTGAGGCCATTAACTGATTTGAGAAATCCTGGAGAAGTATCAGAGTTAAGAAGTAAAAAGATAATTTATTTATTCAGCTAAGGGCTACAGTGGAGATACAAGTGGATATATTCAACAGCCAACTGAACATATAGATCTGGAGCTCAGGAAGAAGACTGAAAATAGAAATATAGATTTCTATTTATATAGATAGCAATTGAAGCAACAAAAAACAAATGCCAACTTTTAAGAGATATGCAAAGAAAGTGGAGCTTTCAAAGATAATAGAAGGGCTGGCTAGTTAGCTCAGCTGGTTAGAGTGTGGTACTGATAACACGAAGGTCCAAGGATTGATCCCTGCACTGTCCAGTGGCCAAAAAAAAAAAGATGAGGAGGAGGGATGAAGACCAGACTGATATATCATTATATACGTCCCAGGGGCCAGCCCATGGCTCACTCAGGAGATTGTGATGCTGATAACACCAAGGCCATGGATTCAGATCCCATATAGGGATGGCCGGTGAGCTCACTGGGTGAGCTTGGTGCTGACAACACCAAGTCAAGGGTTAAGAACCCCTTATCGGTCATCTTTTAAAAAAAAAAAAAAAAAAAAAGCGCGGGCCCCATGGCGCACTCGGGAGAGTGCAGCACTGGGAGCGTAGCGACGCTCCCGCCACGGGTTAGGATCCTATATAGGAATGGCCCGTGCACTCACTGGCTGAGCACGGTGCGGGTGACACCACACCAAGGGTTGCAATCCCCTTACCGGTCACGACAAAAGACAAAAAAATAAATAAATAAATAAATAATCATATACGTCCCAAGAGAAGTAAATTTTTTAAGAAGAAAATCAAGGTCAATAATATATATATTTGGCTTCCCCAACAATTAGTTCTTTGAGATTAAATAAATGTTAAACTTCAATAACTCTCATGGTACTGTGCATATAGTTATTATTCAATAAACCCCTTATTTACTCATTCAATGTTGACTATTAAATACCTACCAGACACAGTGCTATATGCTTAGGAGTATAAGAATAAACAAGACAGCATAGTTCTTATCCTCACAGATCTAAAACCTGTAGATTACATATATGAACTTGACTTTAACAACCCAGAAATAAATTAAAATTTTTTAACCAAGATATGCTCTGTTTAATTTGGCTACATTAAAAATGACTATTTTAAAATGAGACTACTTCAGTAAAAGCATAATGAGAAGGTTAAAATATTTATGCAAATTAATTTAACTTATTCATCAACTGTGGAGCTTCCAAGTTCTGGAGGGTAATGGCGGTCATCAGAATCTGAATTTCTCCACAAAGCTGCTCAAAAAAACCTGAACCTAAGGTCAAGGAGGGGCATAAACAAAACCATACATTATCCATGCCACCACATTACTAGGAGACAAAGAATACCCAAACTTCAAATTTCCTATAAACAGAAAAAGAAACAAGGAATTGCAACAAAGCTTAGTTGGTGGCCCCTGTTCTATATCATGATTAGGGTAGTGATTATACACTATATATGTTTGTCACATTTTTCAAATTGTATTCTTTAAATTGGTGAATTTTAATGTAAATTATATCTCAGTAAAGCTGATTTTTTAAGTATAAGCCAAGAATTTTATTCCCAGCCAAGCTGTAGTTCAAATAATCAAGGCTACAGAAAAAATGTTTTGGGACTGGCTAGTTAGCTCAGTTGGTTAGAGCATGGTGCTGATAACACCAAGATCCAGTGTTCCATCCCTGTACTGGTCAGCTGCCAAAAGAAAGAGAGAAAATGCTTTGAATGTGCAAGAACTCACAGAACACTGTACATACAAGCCCTTCCTGAGGAATCTTTTAGAGGATGTGCTTCATCTAACCAAAAGACAGCCAGGGAAACATCAGCAAAGAGTCCAATTAATTGTAGAGCAAAAACTAAAATAAGAATAGGGACATGGGTAAAATAATAATACTTAAATGTGTATGTTCTGACAAAGTAGAAAGAATGCAACTAAAAACAATGGGAGGAGAAAAGAGAAAAGCAGAATTAGATCACTGACTTTAATATATAGATAATAGGAGAAATCAAAGGATACCATTTAATACTGATAGGCCAGATAGTAAAAAGTTAAGAAAAAGGTGGATTAAGGATATTATAAAAGGTTACAAAAATTCCAAATACCAAAATAATTTTTTTAAAATAAGCAAACAAAGCACATCAAATAGACAAAAAACACTGTAAATAGTCATAGACTGGAAAAGACCAACGTATACAATCTTTCCATTTTAAAACACAGATTTTACATAAATTAACTCAAACAGAATGTATTGTTTCTACACAAAGAAGCTTAGGCAAGCTACCCAAAAAGATTTTAAAATAAAACAGTGAAAGCATTTAAAAAAAATTTTTTAAAGCAGAATAATAGATACATCATTTACTTGTTTACCATGTGCCAGACACAGTCCAAAGCACTGTACATAAACTATGTCTTTTAAGTTTATGTAAACCATAGTTTATGTAAACCATGAAATAATCTTATATTGTCTCTGACAAGCCTAAAAAGTAGGCACTAATATTACTCCATTTTACAGGTGATAAAATTGGGGTCAGAAAGACTAATTAGTTAAGTAGTCCACGACCAAGGAGCAAATAAGGGGTAGTGCCATTCAAATTGAGATGATGTTAGACTCCAATTGACCATCTCAACATACAGCTACTAAAATATTCAAATACCTTAGTGAGTTCTGCTAATTCATTTCCCAAAATAATTCGAGTGGTTCATTTGCACTGAAATTAATTCAAATTCCAGAGGGATGATTCACAGACTCTCAAGGTCACAAGATCTTAGAAGACATCAAGGCTAACTTCTTCATAAACTGGTACCACGCTCTCTACTTGAAAAGTTCCACTAATGTGGTTCTTGCTAGCTCAAAGAACAGCCCTTTCCACATTCAGACCATTCTGATTATCACAAAATTTCCCTTTATTAAGGCGAAATCTCCCTTTTTAGAACTCGCTCACATGAACCCTTAGTGCTACTCTCTGAAGCCAAAAAGAATATTTAGAATTTTCTGTCTAGCCAACCTTTTTTACACATCTGAAGATAGATCATGACCATCCTAAGCCTTATTTTTTTCAAGTTAAGCAGCCTCACTCAGCACTTCCAATTATTCATTTGTTTTTTTTGTTGTTGTTGTTGTTTTGTTTTGTTTTAAAGATGGCTGGTAAGGGGATCTTAACCCTTGACTTGGTGTTGTCAGCACCACGCTCTCCAAGTGAGCTAACCGGCCATCTCTATATGGGATCCGAACCCACGGCCTTGGTGTTATCAGCACCACACTCTCCCTAGTGAGCCACGGGCCGGCCCTATTCATTTGTTTTTAAAACCATCATCATATTCACTTTATTCACTCTTCTCCAAGTGGATTCTTAAAGTGTTACATCTTAAATCAAGCATATTACTCAAGGCACATTCTAAAAATCAAAGTAAATTAAAGAAATCATTCCCTCAAACCAGATAATGTACTTCTATCAAACTCATGTGGGTTTCTTTGGCTCCTTTCTTAATCTATAGGTACAGAGGCATATAGAATTTACCAAAAACCCTAAGTTGTTTTAAATAGCATATAGCCAATCTTTTTTTCTGAGGGGGGGGGCGGGCAGCTGAATGGTATGGGTATCGGAACCCCTGACCTTGGTGTTACCAAAACCATGTGTCAGTTGTTTTTTAAAAAGCTGAACACATGAAAACTCAGAATGAAGCTTTATCAGGCCATGACTGGGTGGTTTCCAAAATTTTCACCACAAGGGTCTTGTTATTTATTTTTGCCCAGCATCCCATGATTTGAAAGATACCTAAAACCAAGCTACATTTACTAAGTTATTAAATAATTTTCCTATTTTGGGGAATCTATGACATATATAACTGTCACTGCCCCGAAATATTTCTAGCAAACAACAAAGTAATTTGATGTTTTACTTAGTACATATAGTCCAATTAGGGATACAATTACCACTAGGCTTTCTGAAACAGTGAACAGTTTGAGAACCACTCATACCGAATCTGCCTGCAGCCCGAAGGTCCAAGGACCCTAATTAAATAATTCTAATCATGGCTAATGTTGGCCCAAATATGCGATTGATCCAAAGGAGAAGCTAGGATTCAAAAAGAATGAAGTAGAATCCAAGCTATAGATGAATAAAAAGCTTGAAAAGGACGATGTTAAGACGGTATATGCTTCTCTTCCCAACTCGAGGGGTGGAGAGAGGCTCAGAGAATAAATCAAATTCCAGAAAAAAACAAAAACAGTATACAAGAGCCATGATTTATATATGAAAAAATTAAAATGTGGCATGATTTCAAGCAACTGATGAAGTATAAAAAAAAACATTTGACATCCTCTTCAATAGTAGGGCAGTCTGTGATATTGGAAACAAAGAGCAGGGAATAAACTCAGCACACTACACAGCTCAGGAAAGTGCTGACGCAGTCATAAATATCAACAATGGTTATTGATTTTCAAATTTTAAAATCAATAAATAAAGTGCAGAAGATTTATTTACTGCTCAGAACAAAATGTAACAACTTGGGCCGGCCTGTGGCTCACTCGGGAGAGTGTGGTGCTGACAACACCAAGGCCGTGGGTTCGGATCCCATATAGGGATGGCCAGTTAGCTCATTGGGTGAGTGTGGTGCTGACAACACCAAATCAAGGGTTAAGATCCCCTTACCAGTCATCCTTTAAAAAAAAGAAAAAATGTAACAACTCTGACAATGTAAAAGAACCAATAAAAAATTGGAAAACAAGAGGG